CTATCTTGCTGGATCCTGAACTGGTCTTCTTTGCGTAGTTGCCTACCCAGTTTGTGTAACGGTTCTTAGATGAGTATTTGCAGTTCCAGACGACGTGCACCAACGTTATGCGAATGCGGTTGTTTTACAGTACATTGCAGTTGCTAAACCACAGACAATGCTTGAGGCATATGATATCGGGAAATTACGTCCGGCTTTTATCAGCGCTATACAATGCGACAAGCCAGAAATTGCATGTGCTGGAATTCGAGGTGCCGCTGGGATACTTTTATGGTAAGTTTCTGTTTTGTTATTTCTGGTACACGTATTATTCATCATATTCATGCCATACAGAAGAAATAAAAAGATAATGCTGTTTTTGATAAGCAAGAACTGAGGGGTACAAAATCAGCCGCCTCCCTTCGAATTCGCTTTCTATATGAGTCAAAGATATTCGGGAAATAGCCGGAATGGTACAGTATGCCGTTATCAAATTTGCTAGCAAGGTTTTCGATGGCTTCCTCTTTAGACAGTTGCTTGCAAGCAAGCTGATGGCTGGTTTGACTCTCTGGCATATGCCAATGTTACCGTCAAAGCAAATAAAGAGGAACTGGCAAATTTAGAGGCGGAGACGAATCCTCGATTTACCGCACGGCAGCAGTGTGCTCCCATTACGCAATGTCCGTTGGACTGATAAAAAACCGTAAAAAAATAGTGCAAACATCAGGGGCTAAAAAAATTCCCAGTAAAATTCAAGGATCCTTGGAAATTTTGAAGAAACTTAATGGAATTTATCGGCATAACTTTGACCTACTATGAGCTTGCGTAATAATCCTGCACAAAAAACTCTGGCGAATTTGATTTGCAGTGGTTTTTGTTAGTGTCTGTTTGATGATGATAATTTGTACAGCGCTTAAGAACATAATGTGGACGTAAATGAAGCTAAAATTTACATTAATTGGTGCATCGAATGTTATTGCTTAGTGGGCTTAATTTTGTGGGGGTTTTCCTTACGATGTTTAAAGAATTGATGTTTTATTGGCAGTTTCATGAACTTTCTTTTCCCCCTACTGTTTTGTGATAATTCTAATTCTGCAGCTTTTATTTATTTTTGGTAATTTTCGGCATCTTTTAAAAATGTTTGCCGAATGGGAACCCATACCGCTGTGTTACCATGCGCATCATTGGAAAATTCAGAAGATATCGAGTTTTACTGGCAAAGACGTTGGTAAAAAAAAGTGTCTCTGATGGTTAACAGCTACCACAGAATTTCCTTTTGACAGTGAACTTTCATATTTTAGCCAGGAAACAATGGATACGTTGTTGTTGAGTACGGTTGTGCGGGCAATCAATCATTCATCAAATGATGTAAAATGTGTGGCAGCACTGGCTGTGCATCATATTTCGGCAAGGAAGCTCACTGTCAATGAAATGAAGGTGAGTGAGGGAGATGAAGGAAGGGCACCTTATCATCGTTTCTAATGATTCAGTAATTTAAGGAAACTTAAGGAAATCTGTTAAGGAAATGTTGAGAAAGATTTAAGGAAATCTGTTCATTTTCACTGGGATAGCTGATCCAAAAATAATCAAGGTTCTCCGAACCTTTGTCATTATCGTGTGCTTGGAGAACACCACCAACAGGTCATTAATTGTATATTCGGGAATATCAGCTTAGTAGGGAGGTGGCTGGATGCTCACAGTGATTTTGAGTCCTTGATGTCTGCGTTTATCAGTTCTTATTTGGAAGAAGGAGTCGTAGAAATGGACTGATTGTCTTTTTGGCGAAGTCAAATGCACAACCTGTTACTAAGGGAACCAAACCTATCAGCGATAAATTGTTAGTAAAAATAACATCAGTCTAAAAATTTATGTTAAATTCCTCAGTGACCCATCGAGTGCCGCGTCATTTAATTTGAAGGGGCGAACGGAAAATATTTTTAAAATATATGACTTCTGTATTTGGTAGGCTCTCAGAAGACGATATAAGCAGTCAGATTCTGTGCTATATGGGTGGTGTGCGAGTCCAGTGGATAGGGCATGTTACTTGTCTTGCTAGCAAACGTAAACTTTGTGCATTGGTGAGAGATATTAGAAAAAAACGACGGCTTGAGCGCTTCCGAAGAAGTGGTGCGCATGCATCCGGTAAGCCTTGGACACTAACTGCGATATGCAAGTCAGCATTGAAGAAATTTGCATAATTGCGCTGCACTCAGCGTGAATGGGACATAACTAACATGGGCTATCTATTGTGCTAGCTCCGGGCTGTCTTCGTTTTTTTCTCTGCGTCTGTTAACGTTTTATTAAAGTGATCGTTCTTTTTTTTTTAACTGGAAATTTTTTTTAGCAAATTTTTTTTTTTGACAACGAAATCGAAAATACGTGATAGTTTTTATTGCCTTTTTGATAAAAGTTGATCCTTGAATATTGCTGTAATTTCATTAAATGAATGATTATTTTGACAGACGATTGTTCCGATGATGTTAAACGGGATGAAAGAAAAGAATATTGCTGTTCGTGTGGCTTGTCGAAACGCGCTGATCGCTTTGTTTAGGCTGCGCAGCGATAATCCAACTTATGAGGATTATCTATCTACTGTTACGGTAAGCCAGATTGTTCATTTTATGAAAAATGCGGCTTTAAAGCACATGTTTGTTCTGGACAGATAAGGTGCCAAACTGCTATGGTGTAGCAGGGGAAGGATATTTTAAGCGTAGGTGACGCAAATGTTAGTTATTAGATAGTATGAGTATATCTGATACTTTGATCAATTGTCAGTCATCGTGCTACAGTTTCACATTGGCAATTTTCCCATAGAAGTTATGACCAAAGCTGCATCATTTGGTGCTCCCTTTACTAGTAATTCTGTTTTTATTTACGTCTTTTTTTAGTCTTTCACAAAATAAAACGCTATTGATGTGTTGCATTCCCTCTACGCCTGTTTGGCTCTAACAACTTATCCATCAGTCGCACTTATTTCACACGTCCTTAGCGGTTACTACTGCTGGAAGATAGGATAGTCGGACAGGAATTTTGTAGGATTATCCGACATCAGACATAGAAATACTTAAACACACAATTAGAGATCGATCACGTGGCCTTTCTCTATGTTGATATGATTTGAGCCGTTGAACATTTAAGGAGTAATTTTGGAATTGTTCAGCCTGAAATTGCATTGACCAATGTTGCATCGCTTAATGGCCGTCCCAGCTCTTGAAAGAATTGCCAGTTCAGTACACTTTGGCAAAATTTTAGCCCTTTCGAAGTCACTAGTGTGTGTTAAGCATTAACATTCTGTCTTGAAAATTGCAACTCTTGTATAACGAAAAGTGTCTTATCGGGTGCTGATGCGATTGGAAAACGATTTGCTTGCAGGGTGCACCACGAGAAGTACTTGTCGATGCCTACCAGACACTTCAAAAAGCTTTGAAAGAGACAGATTTGGGATTGGAGCCGCTGTCGAACATACCTAATGTGCCGTGAAATTTGACCTGCCAGAAATGAATTGCTACGAATTTGTTAAATCTCTTTGAAAATGTTTTTTTTGCAGAGAGTTTTGCGTTTGGAAGTAAAATTTTAAGATTAACGATAGTATTTTTTTTTTTTTAATGCGCGAAAGGAAGTGCCAAATCGTCAAGTTGGGCTAGCATATTTGTAGTAGGCATTTTGAGAGGAATTCCTGTTGTTTTTCTTTGAACGTGTAATATTGTCGTTACTACTGTTTTCCTACATTGATTCCTGTGGTCCGATTCCCGGTTTTTCTGACGAACGTGGTGTAATGGAAAGTGTCATTTTGTGCATGTTATGGATCTTTCTCGCTGTTAAACTGGTAGGCATGTTTTGCGAATCAGACTGTCGTCGGCTTGCTCCATAGGCAGATCCAGGACAAATTCTTAGAAAGGAAGGGCAGGGGGAGGGGACCGGAGGAGAAGGGACAGCGACGGGGAGGCGAGTGGGGGTAAGTAAAAGAGTCCTTTCCCACCTTGGAACTATGCAGAACTAGGAATAGAGCTGAACACTGTTACTTAGAGTTACTTTAGACTTAAGCTTTATACCCGGGTTTTGCAGCATTGTTGGCTGTGCCGCTGGGGCAGAGGGACGAGGGAGATGGTCGAAGACCCACTGCCTCTCCCCCTTCCCCCTCACTCTCCCTCCCTGCCTTGGATCCGCTTATGGCTTGCTCCCCCCTAATTTCCATATGAAAAATCCATCCATCGACAGTCTGGTCCGAAGAGCGAGGGGCTGTGAGCTATTTGTAGGTAAAGCGTTAGCATTCGGGCTACTTTTTAAATATCTCTGCTTTTTACACATGATAAAATATCCGGTTGCATTTTCGAGAGATGCGACAAATCACACTGGGCAAAATTAAGCTTTTCCTTTTTTTGACCAAAACGATCTTTTGTGGTTTGTAGTGGAAGTACAGCTGCAAAGCCACCTGATGGATTTGCGTTAGGAAAACCAGTGAAGTGTATAAACGACGTTGATCCATCTGTATTTTCCAGATCTGACCCCAATCATACAGGAGGTGTTCTTGTTTTGTGATCTTCACTTGTGAAACAGTTGCAGTCTTTAGGGAAATTAACGTTGTTTCGAATTTCTGTTTCATTTTTGAAATGAACTGTTATTTGTTTTTGCCTTGTTAATATGATTAAATAGTTACTGAACCAGTTTACAAATTGCTTCCTGCATTTCTCATATCGCCGATGCTTGGGGCAAATCGTGCCAGAATCCATCTCATTCCGAATTCACATGAACCTAATAGTGCAATATGCATATGTTTACATGTATGTATATGTATATATGTATGTATGTATGTATGTATGTATGTATGTATGTATGTATGTATGTATGTATGTATGTATGTATATGTATGTATGTATGTATGTATGTATGTATGTATGTATGTATGTATGTATGTATGTATGTTTGTTATGTATGTATGTATGTACTCATGTGTGTATGTATTTGTGTACGTATGTGTTTATGTATGTTCCTCTGTGTGTAGGTATGCATGTAAACGTGTATGGTTTGTAGGTATGCATGGGTCTATTTATGTTATGTGCGTATATATGCATATATCGTGTGTGATTATGTATATATGTGTGTGTGCGTCTGTGTGTACGTGTATGTAGAAATGCGTATGCATGAATTTTTTACGTATGTCTTTATCAATCTGTGCACATGTAGGAAAAGCGTACGTCCGTTTGTGTCTCATTAGCAGCCGCTCTGAATCGAAATGTTTATCATGTATCTTGAGAAAAGCAGACTTACTGAAAAGCCCGCAGTTCCTGTTCAATCGGTCAAGTACATGTTCCTCTGTTTGACTAGCTGAATTCTTGGATTTCTTAATTGAATAGTAATCGCTTAAAGCTCTCGATGAAGCTGTGGCATGGATTATTATGCGCAGTCCGGGAAGCGCGTCCTTCATATCAGCCTTTTATTGGTCTCGAAGTCCATGCACAAATTTTGACAAGGTTGATCATTTGTGCTACAAACTTTATCATTTTTGTGTTCGCCTATAGGTAAACGTTAGAAACTTAAAGTGTCATGGTTGTTCCTTCGTAAAACAATATTAACGAATTTTCTTAAAGGGGCATTTTTGGGATTTTTGAAAAGGTATTTTTAAGCGTACATTTAAAAACACTTTTTGGATTTGTTATTACTTTTATTACTGCATAACCGCTACTAACTCAAGGAGTACTGCAGTTAATGGAAATGCGAGGGATCTTATTGTTATCGGAGGCGGGGAGGAAGGGAGCTGAATAAGGTAGCAATATTGGAACATGGACAAATTTTAAGGAGGAAGGAGGAGATAAGAAATGACTTGGATCTGATTTTTGTCATTTGGTGAAGTTGTTGTATCCTACCAGGAAAGGCTTGACTTGACCCAAACTTTTAAGGTGTTTTTCGAAGTGCCGTTTCGCAAAATTGCCATTAGCATGCACTTTTGAGTATTGCTTAGAAGCAAGCTGATGATAGTTCCGAGGCTTTAATTTGCTCTAATAGCAGTTTTCCATCCGAATGAGTTCTAGATGAATCAATTTTTCTACTCGCAGAATGAAACTAGAGATTAAGATTACGCACTTATGAATCATAGACTTCTGCTAATAATTAAACTACTGAAGCATTGCTATTTTACTGAAATAAAGAAGGACGGGTGAAGATGAGCTGTTTTGCCCCGAGCTTAGATAAGGATGGGGAGGTACGTTGGCCACGCCCTTGCTTTGTTATGTCTAGCTTATTGTATTTGAGGTATTTCTAGTTCTGTGCAATTATAGAACGAAATTATTCTCATCGGCAGCATTCGATGATGATGCCCATGCTAATTCATCAGTTTCGCTATTCGATATGGCAACTCCTGGTACTCTTCCTGTTCTCAATAAAGCAGCAGTCATGGTTTGAGTTCTTTTTTTTAACTGAGAAAAATTTTATCCATAATGAAGTGTTGGGAAAATAAAAATTAGTGATAGGTAAAAGCAGAAAAAATATTACCTGGAAAAATTATCGGGTTTACCCAGCTGAAAATCCATGATCTGGGTCTCCATTCATGCAACGAGCAACTTATAGGAAAAATAACAATGAGGAATTAATACAACAAAATGAAGAATTAAAATCTAGTGAGAGGGAAATTAGCCAAGTGGTCAAATATAGATTAGAAATCATTTGAAATAATTCCGATATAATCCAGTGGTAAAGTAGGGTTTATTTATGCCTCATTGGTTTTCTGGTTTTCGAGATTTTTTGTGAAATTTCTTTTTTACTTTTCGGGCTTTTGTTACTGTAACAGAAAAATTGTATCTGATAATACTGCAGTACTTTATACTGCTGCTGTTTTTAAGCAACGCAACGCTTTGCTTTCCAAAAAGTTTGTGTCATTTAGAGATTTAAGATTTTTTAAAATATTGCAAAGAATTCTTTTGCCTAGTGGTACTCTTCCAGGAAGGGCGCTAGGCAGAGCGATGCGGAAACAGGAAGAGGCTAAAATTTGAGGCACAAAAAATAGCAGATTTCTCTAACTTTGTATCTTGCCTTTTATACTTTATATAGCAAATTTAGCCGTTTTGCTAATTCTTAAAAATTCTGAGAAATCACAAGATGCTAAATTTTGTCGATTAATTAAAAAGTTCAGTATAACTCGAGACTGTTGCAGAAAGGTATTGCGACGGGTTTGCTTCTGAATTGCACTATTCCGAAACGTTGTAAATTTGTGCGCAAACATTATTTCTATGCAGACATGCCAGCCGGTTACCAAATAACCCAGCAGAACGATCCGATCGCTCACTCTGGACATTTCGAATTCTTTGTACATTGCAACGATAAGGTAATTAAGTGTCAAGATCAAAACCTTCTCCGTAATCGCTTTGTTTTAAAGATGAAGGATTTGGAAATGGCTCGAATGGTAGTCTGTGCTAATAGCATCCAATCACTGACAAAGCTGTCGATGGCTCTCTCTTTCGAAGGTTGCTTAAAAGCAAGCTGGTAGCGTAACTAGTCAAGTCCCGCCGAAAGAGCAAAGCATTTCTGTACTTATGGAAGAAATCAAAAGCCTTTTTGGTTAAGATCATGAAACGATTTTTGGAAAATAAAGTTTTTTCAAGCGTTGCAGGCATGTAATTTTTAAATGACTTTTTATGCGTTTTGTGCTGTGTTACAGCAGTACAAAATGTATATTGTCACGGGGCTGTCTGCGTGTATGCCTGAAGCAACTTGTCCGCAACTTTCAACCCGGGTACCACAAAAGCTAGGAAGCTGAAAATTTAGGAGTAATGTTCCTGCCCAAATGTGACCTCGCAAATTTAAATTCAGCTTTCCCTTGTCCACGGGTAACAATTACGGCGCCGTAAATTTTTGCCGGAGAAATTATCTCGCGAACTACGGAAGCTAGAAAGCTGGAATTTTGTGGGCATGTCCTCTGCCTACGTGCAACCCAGAAAGCTTAAATTCAGCCTTCCCCTGCCTGCGGATAGCAGGTACGGCCCAGTGAAAATTTTGGCGAGGAGATTATTATCTCGGGAACCGCGGAATCTTGGAAGCTGAAATTTTAGGATAATGACCCTACCCACATACGATCTCGCAAATTCTGATTCAGCGTTCCCGCGTTCTCGGGTATCACCCAACGGTTCTGTCGAAAGTTTGACGGGGAATATTACCCCGTTAACCATAAAAGCCAGAAAGCTGAAATTTTACGGTAATGTCCCCTGCCTATATGCAATCCCGCAAATATAAATTCAGCTTTCCCGGGCGCTCGCTCGTACCGATTATTTTTCCACATATAACTGTAAAGCAGTTATATTTTTGGCAGGCAAACGTTCGCTGGGCGGAACTTCACAAAACTCGTGATTGCACCGGCTGCCCTGGTGTGCGTCGCTATTTTATTTATTTTTGATATAAAACTAGAAATCTCTCGCCAACTTTTGGCTTTATAATCCATTGTAGAGAAGTTTGTTCAGCATGAGAAACAAAAATTGACATTTATATGGTGACATTTATGTTCCAGTCATTTATTACATACAAGAAATGTGTACGTATACTGAGAATCCAACTGGAAAATGATAGCGGC